ACTTTGCTGTGTTGAACCTCATCAGGTTCACCCGGGCCCATCTTTCAAGCCTGTTGAGGTCCCTCTGAATGTTCCTACCTTCCTTCCTACAGCCCCCATCCATGGCCTCAGACACCTCCAGCAGTGGGCACCTGCAGCTCTGGACACGACCGGGGCCGCAGCCCCTGTGGGTGAAGGGTTTCCTCCTCACACCTTCCCTCTTCCTCACTTTGTGCCCCAGTTGGTGCTCACAGTGTTGGTGCGACCCCTCAGTGCCACTCACCTTCCTGTGTTTGAGCTTCCTATGGGAAGAAGGAGCTCTATAATTACTGCTCACAGGCCAGCCAACGAGTTGGGCGTCGGAAGTTTAAAGTTGTGTTGTTTGTAACGTGTGTAACATAAAAATGTTGCTTGTTTTCCCCCTCTTCCCCTAAAGCCGCCTGTCTGGTGAGGAAGGCAAAGAATTCGTTGCAGGAGTCAGAAAACACTTTCCTCAGCTTTGCAGAATATTTAAGGTATGTCTTTTCTGTTAGATTTTCCAAAGTTTACTTCAGAGAACAAATCCAAGTGATACATTAGTTTTGTCCCTATGGTGAGTTGTATGAGAGGTTGCTAATTTCTTGTTGCTAATTCCCCAAAGCTTTGGGGTTTACCTGTTACAGGTCATTTTATTTTATTCTTTTTGGTAGATTAGTGTAAGGACTGTGGTCACCTTTTTTTCCTCCACATTTCAGACGTTTTAAGGCGGTCCAGTGGCAGAATGTGAGCAAGATGAGCTTTGGGGGTTACAGGTTTTAGTGATGGTTGGGGTTAATGGCTAAGAGTCAAATGTGAGTCTGTGTGATGAAGAGTTCAGGCTAATGGCAGCATTAAGGGCTTGTGAGCAAAACTTTTCCACCTTGTTAGGAATTTGTACTGAAAAACTCAATAAGGGACTTGGATGACTGCAGATATGTGCTATGCAGCCAAATAACATCTTGTAGAAGAAATACTGTGTGTTCTGTCTGCCTTTAGAAAAGCTTCAAGATTCCAGAATTTGTGCTAAATGTTGTTTTATTTTATTTTATTTGGTAGATTAGTGTAAGGACTGTGGTCACCTTTTTTTTCCCCCACCTTTCAGATGTTTTAAGGCAGTCAGGTGGCAATATGTGAACAAGCAAAGAAGTACAGAACTTGTGATGCCAATGCATGCTTAGTAAGGATGCCTAAATTGCAGAGAGCAGAAACATCTTCTGAACCTCAGATTGTTTTAATGATCTAGTGAAGTGTGTAAACAGAAAAGTTTTCCATCAGGCATTTACCTTTTGACAGCTCTCTTCATTCAGCACAACTGTTGGTATTGAGACAGCTGATGCTTTACGTCTGGTTTTGTGAGTTAGGGCACACATAGATATATTAAAAATAACCTTTTCTTGTTTTTCCAGGCACATATTACTAGTGAAAATTCAGAGCTGAGTAACGCAGCATTACAGGCCTTGGGGTTCTGTGTTTTTAATTCGAAGATCACCTCTGAATTATCTGGTAAGCAATGAACTTCAGTGTGAATGCTGATGTAAGGTGTATCTGTGCCATACTCCTTTATTTCTTTGTTAGCAAATGCTTTAAGTTTGGCAGAGTTTACAGTTCCCCAGTGATACATTAGTTGGTGAGCAGTATGAGAGGGTTGCTAATTCTTTCTTGTGCAAGATGGGCTTTGGGGATTACCTGTTACAGCTTTCACTTGGCTGTATGCAGTTCATAAAATCACAGAATGGCCTGGGTTGAAAAGGACCACAGTGTTCATCTCATTTCAACCCCCCTGCTATGTGCAGGGTCACCAACCAGCAGATCAGGCTGCCTAGAGCCACATCCAGCCTGGCCTTGAGTGTGGATGTGGGGCATCCACAACCTCCTTGGGCAGTTCCAAAAATGTGATGAGGAGCAGCCTGGTGTCAGCTGAGCTTTGGTATGCAGAAGATGGGCAGGTTGTGTTGTGGTGGAAGGTGAGGACAGAATGGAATCCAGTGGATGATCAGAGCACATTTTCAGTGTTGTCCCTTTACTTTCCCCTGTATATATGTGTGTGTGTGTATATATGTATTTTTAAAACTAGTTGGTAAACTGCAGTCAAATTTGCTGGAGAGCTTTAGGTCCTGAAAATAGGTGGAGAGTCAGAGAAATAGGATGAAAAGTGTATGTGCTCTAACTGTGTGACTTCGTGTTTCTCAAATCTGAGGGCACTTAGCCAGGAGGGCCAACTTGGTAAGAATTTAGGCTTCATTAATGATGAATTTCAAAGAAATGCATGTTTTTCATCTGTCTTCCTAGTTGCACCTAAGTTCTGTGTTGGTGTTACTCTTGTATTATCAGCTCTGTTAGCTCAGCTCTAAATTTCATAGAATCACTAAGACCTCCAAGATCATCAAGTCCACCTACCACCAGTATTTCCCCACTTAACCACATCCCTCAGTGCAACATCCAGATGTTTCTTGAGCCCCTCCAGGGACAGTGTCTCCAGTGAAGCCTTTTGTAGACTTTAATGGCTTTTTTAATACCCCAGTGCAGCAGCAGAGTTGACAAAGAATTGAAGTATTTGCTTGAAATCCCAGAAGTTCTGAATAACTTAGTATTGAATCTTCAGTTCTAGATCTTTTTAGGTGGATTCATCTTCTAGATTCATGGTTTTTTGATTTCTTAGGATAAAACATTTAGAGCACATTATAGTGATAAATATAAATACTACTATTCTGAGCTTTTCTATCAAGTTATTTTGAGAGAAACTCCAAAAATTACTGGAAAGCAACGTTTAGAGCATTAAATCACACTCAGACTGGCTGAATAGATGTACTTATTCTAGTAATGTTAAATGAGCAAAGTGACCTGAAGCTTGCCAAGAAGTAGAAGTACATAAGCAATGAGTGCTGCATTCTGCTTTCAGCATCTGAAGTAGAAGATTTGCTTTCCACGTTGAACAGCATTGCTGTGAAGACTTCAGACAAAAACACTCGCACTCGAGCACTTTGGGTGATCTCTAAGCAGACGTTTCCTTCTGAAATTATTAAAAAGGAGGTATGTCTCTTAATGGTTTTGTAGCCCTATTTTGAGGGAGAGGACACTGGCAATCTCTTGTACACTTGGTAGTTTTTGAATATGATGGGAAATGCGAGCCTTAAGGTCTTGGAAGAATTGTAAGGGTTTTCTGATGGAGGAAAAAGAGCTGAAAACTTGCTGCTTTTGAGGATGAGGCTGCAGTGTTGATGGTTCTGTGAGATACCAGCAAAGCAGCATGGGAGAGAAACGTTATAAACACTCCTGCATGGTTGGAGCTCTGATCTTACAACCAGAGCTGTTGTAATCCAGACACAGAGCTCTAGAATGGGAAATGGAGTTGTGTGATTCCAGCTGCTCATTAAGTATCTGTGTTTACATACCGAGGTCTCTTGTGTTTCCTCAGGTGTCCAGTCTTATTTCTACCCTGGAAACCATACTTACTAAAGGAGATGTACAGTCTATGATTGTGGAGTATGAAGCACTGAATGTTGTTATACGGTACGTGTGGGGCAGTGCTGAATGGCTAACCATGTTGGTATTTGGGAAACTATTGAAACCAGATCTTGGTGGTTCTGAATGTTCAGTGTCCACAACTTATAGAATCATAGAATGGCCTGGGTTGCAAAGGCCCACAGTACTCATCCAGTTCCAACCCCCTGTTGTGTGCAGGGTCACCAACCCAGGCTGCCCAGAGCCACATCCAGCCTGGCCTTGAATGCCTGCAGGGATGGGGCATCCACAGCCTCCTTGGGCAACCTGTTCCAGTGCCTCACCACCCTCTGGCTGAAAAACTTCCTCCTCATATCCAACCTAAACCTCCCCTGTCTCAATTTAAAACCATTCCCCCTTGTCCTATCTACAACCAGTAGAGCAGTGAAACTGTGCAAACTACCATTTCTGTTTCTTTCCCAGTAGTTCTGAACTGCTTCATTTGCAAAATACTCTGCTTATGTTAATGTGACAGCTGATTTTGACACAGAAGCCAATATTCAGATAAACTTTCACTGCTTTTATTTTTAATGGCTTCTTGAGAATCATTTCTAGAGCCTGTTGTGCCCTTCTCACATTATGTTCTTACAGTTCCCATGTGGTTGGGAAGTTCTTGGCTACTGAATGGGTTTGTGTTTAAAAATGTCCTTCCTTGTTGCTTAAAAACATGAGAGCACTGGTTAGTTCCAAAGCAGGATTTTCCACTGAGTGCATTGTTTTGGTCAGCAGTGCTAGAATAGTTACATTTTGCCTTCATTTAGTTTCTTTACTAGTGAGTATGTTCAGATTATGTTTCTGTGAGGGGATAAATTAACTTTCTGCATCTGACTTGAACTGCAATTACATTTTAAAGCAAAACAGTTGGAGTAACTATTTGCTTATTTTATACTTAATACATCAGTTTTCTCTAGCACAGAAGTTGGATTATCACCTGGTTCTGTTGTCCTTTTTCAGCTATCTGCATTTCTATAACTGTGCACTTCACTCTCTTGCAAATTTGAGATGTATTACAGTTGTTTGTGGAGAACACCACACATAGTGGTGCAGCACTACACTTAATGATGCTTTCTTTTGTTTTTTACATATTTTGTGTTGGCTTTCCTTTCAGCTCAGATGCCCAAAAAGTAATGGTAGAACACGAAGGACAGCTGTAATGTCAGTTCTCCTTCAGGGGAGGTGGAAATACACCTCAGTACTGCAGTTTTAGGTTGAAGTCTGATGTTCTAAAATTATTTAGGATGTCTTCCTGTACATCAGAAGCTGAACTAGAACATTAATTGGTTATACTAAGACTACTTTTGGGTATGTGAACAATGTCTGTTTGCTTTCTGATTTCAGCTTAATGGAGCAAGCTCCAGCCCAGATGGGAGAAGAGGCTGTGAGGTGGGCAAAGCTGATCATCCCTCTGGTCGTCCATTCAGCTCACAAAGTGCAGTTACGAGGTGCCACTGCACTGGAGATAGGCATGCCACTGCTGCTCCAGAAACAGCAGGAGGTGGCAGCTGTAACTGAGCATCTGATGACCACGGTAGGTGGAAGTGCTGTGCCTTTTGTATTGAAAAAGCAGTAGTGATCAGGGGTTGAGGGTATGTCTTGTCTGGAGAGTCGTTTTTTGCTGCCAATGTGTGTTGGCAGCAACTTTATGATGACAACAGTTCTGACAGAAAAATAACAAGGTAAGAATACGACCACTGAAAACTATTTCTGACAGTTATTGGTGAGGAAATAAACACCTGTCTGGACAGCATTAGCTCTTGAATAGTATCATTATACTTCAGTTGTTTCTTAAAGAGAATTTACTTACCTCTTTGAAGCCTTCCAATACCTAACGGGAGCCTATAAACAGGAGGGGAGTCACCTCTTTACAAGGGTAGATAACATCAGGACGAGTGGAAATGGTTTGAAGTTGAAAAGGGAAGATTTAGGTTGGATGTCAGGGGGAAGTTCTTTACAGAGAGAGTGGTGAGGTGCTGGAACAGCTGCCCAGAGAGGTTGTAGATGCCCCATCCCTGGAGGTGTTCAAGGCCAGGTTGGATGGGGCCCTGGGCAGCCTGGTCTAGTATTAAATGTAGAGGTTGGTAGCCCTGCGTGTGGCAGGGGGTTGGAGTTTCATGATCCTTGAGGTCCCTTCCAACCCAATCATTCTGCAATTCTATGATGATTGCATGATCTGGTTTCTTCCTTATGGTTGTAAGTGATGAACTGCGATTTCATGTTCCCTACTTCAAGCTAAACAAGTTAGAGAGGCTACAAGTAATTAAGGATCAGTAATTGCAGTGAGCTCTTCCTTTTAAGGAAGAAGGTAAACATGTGGCAGCAGTGTTTGACTGACTCAACAGCAAATGCTGTGTGGTAAAAACTGATACCTTTCTGACCTAGAAATAACAGGTTGGTTGTGTCTTTGCAGGTGTCACTGCTTTGAGGATGTAGCTTTTAAAATGATTTGAATGTATTCCTTTTATAATTTTTTCTTTCTATCTACAGAAATTAATTGCAGAACTTCAGAAATTATTTTCTACAAAAAATGAGACATACGTATTAAAGCTGTGGCCGCTGTTTGTCAAGTTACTTGGGAAGGTAAGCAGAAAAGCAGTGACTCTGCTTCTCTAAGGAGTTCTGACTGTGTTCTTGACAGCATAATTTTAACTTGGTGAACTTCTCTGTTTTCAGACTCTGCATCGTAGTGGCAGTTTCATTAATTCTTTGCTGCAGCTGGAGGAACTTGGATTCCGTAGTGGCTCACCAGTGGTCAAGAAAATAGCTTTCATTGCATGGAAGAGTCTAATAGATAATTTTGCTCTAAATCCAGGTAGGTTTAAAAAAAAAAAAAGTTAACCTGAATTGTTTTGAGTAGTCACTGTATGTAACTGTAACTGAAAGAGTATATATTTTCCTCAGAGGGTGGTGAGGCACTGGAACAGGTTGCCCAAGGAGGCTGTGGATGCCCCATCCCTGCAGGCATCCAAGGCCAGGCTGGATGTGGCTCTGGGCAGCCTGGGCTGCTGGTTGGCGACCTGCACATAGCAGGGGGTTGGAACTGGATGAGCATTGTGCTCCTTTTCAACCTGGACCATTCTATGATTCTATGGTAGTGTTTCACTGTCAGCAGTGATCTGTGAACAGTTTTTGGAGACAAAAACCATGCAGATCTGATCTTGTCCTACATGGATTAACTGGGGAGAGCAGTTCAGTATTCTGAAGATGTGAAGAAAAAAATACCTTTTGAAATCTATTGAGAAGGTGTGACTGAGACCTAAAAAAAGTCCAGCATGTATCACAACACCCCAAATATTTACTTTAATTGTACTTTCTTTTCTGAAGAAGCAGCTAAGTGCTAACAGTTCTTTGTTTAGACAAATTGAAGTTGTACTGATTTGTTTTCCATCTGGTCAGTGTTTCCGTAGATGAACTAACAAAGATGTGGTTCTAACAGAAGGTAACATCCATATAGCAATACTGTTGTTATGTGGAGTGTTTCACCATGGCTCATAAGGATTGCATGCTGTAAAAGCAGTCTGTCAGCAGTTTGGTGGAAGTTGCAGGTAGACAGCTTGTGATACTGCAGAGCTGTAAGCATTTTTCTGAGTGCTTACTTAGCAAGCTTGAGCAAATGTATAGCCTAGCATGCTTGAACATTTCTGCCTCAGTTCTAGATCACTTGTGGCCTCAGTATGCCATGCCCATTCTGCAGTTAAAACCAAGCATTCTGAGCCTGTGTATTTCTTCTACAGTGATAGATATTACTCTTTAACATCACAAGCAAAAGTGAACTTCCTTCTGCTTAAATTGGTATTCAGTAGATTTCAGACTGGAAGAAGATGCCTTCTACTTTCAGGGTCATTCCAGACAACACTCAGAGCAGTAAAATGATCTGAAAGATCAATGTGGTCATAAAGGATTTTAATTCTGAGAAGCATTTTTATATTTTGAGCTAGAAGGTTAAGAAGGAACGTGAACTTAAAAGTTTCATTTTGGTTGTTTTGCAATTTAATCATTTAATTACATTGCTTAAAATACCTTTTTTTCCCCTCCTTCAAGATATTTTGTGCAGTGCTAAAAGGCTGAAATTGCTGATGCAGCCACTGAGCTCAATCCATGTGAGAACAGAGGCTTTGGCACTGACAAAGCTGGAGGTCTGGTGGTATCTACTCATGAGGCTGGGACCTCAGCTGCCTGCTAACTTTGAACAGGTAATAAAGCTGAAAATTCTCATAGTTTTGCACACTCATCATTAATTAAGTGACTATGCTAAGTCTGCTCCTTGTTACCATAGCTTTTTCTGTACTTGCTTTTCCCTTCTCTAATTTATTGTTACAATAAAACTATCTTAAGGAACCAAGGCTGCCTTGTATAGGTGTATGCTATACACACATATAGCATATTATATATGCTTACAATTGTCTTTTCAGTTCTAAAAGATCTTGATAATGGATTTGCATGGATAAGGGCATCTTAGTGGAAGTCTGCACTTGGTGCTCAGCAGTAACAAACGTGGGCAGGTTATATGGGGGGCTGTGTTGTCCTTTCACTGTGCTCATAGAGAGTCCACCATAGGAAGCACATATTCAAAAGATGACAAAATATTGAGAGATCATAGGAAAATGACCCAGTTTCACTACCACTCACATTATAATGAAGAAAATGTTTCTACCAGGATTCTGAGTTTTACCAAATCCAGGATGAGAGTAAATAAAAAATTACCTACCCTTTTGACGTAAAGTACAGATGGATTGTTTCTAGCATGAGTTTTTGTTTTCTCTATCCATTTGTGTATCAGTTTACATGTCTTAGAAATACCAGCATAAGCACACTGAAAACTGATGCTGTGAGCAGCAGTACAGTCTAGCAATCACAGTACGTGGGTTCTTTTTGGCTTATGGCTTGTCATACTCATTTTCATTGGGATTTGGTATCTTTGCAGGTCTGCATACCATTAATCCAGAGCACTCTAAGTGTAGATTCTTCTGCTGCACTGCAAGGAACTCCCTCACGTGTGCCATCCAATCCTAATTCAACAAATACTCCACAGAAACCAGGTATGGAAAGACAAGTCTGTTCCACCTGTATCCTAAATGTAGGAGCTAGAGGTGTTTTGTGTAACCTGTTTGTGTTTTTTCATTTGATTTGTTACTGAGACCATGCAGACAACTCCAGAGGTGGTGATTTACACTGGTTAAAATTGAGGCTGTTGCAGGCAGCATCCCATGTTTACAAAATCATGCTTATCAAACTGCATGTCCTCAGTTTGCACTCACTTTTACAAAGGAGCTTTGAGTTGAAACCTTGGAGTTGAAACCTTGCTTTTTGTATGGATAAGTGCTCCCTTTCTGTCCCAGTCTCAGTTCTGGGGCATTTTCAGTACTATTTTTGAATAGTAGTGCAGTGGTCATGAATATATCAATAACTTTCTTACTGTAAGTATGTGTAAAATCGTATTAACTGAACTTTACATGAAGTGTGTGCCTCTCCTCTGCATGGAAATCCTAGCATTCATCTTATGTAATTCTAGACTGCCATAATTAGAAGCCTCAAATTCATTGTGTGGGTGTTTCAGGTGTGTGTATGTAGTGTAGTGTTTCTGATGTGCTCTGTAGCCACAGCTTCCCTGGCAACTTCTGTTGCCAAAACCAAGTCTGATGTCTTTGGCTTTGATGCAGCTTTTGGAAGGCACGTACTTTGAAAACCCGTGGTTATTACTTGATGTTAAATGCTACTTTGAATAGAAGTGCCTACTTCAAGTCAGACTGCTAGAGGTCCCTCCAGCCAACCCTATTGTATGACTTACCCATGTTACTAGTGTGGAATTTTGGTCTACTGGATTTTTCCTCTCACTTACTAGAGATGAAATACAAGGCAACATTTTTATTCTTAATTTCCCCCTCCTTAGGTCCTTATCCATTTGCAAGTCCAGCCACACCAAGGATGAACTTGAATTCCAGTACTGCAGGACTGGTGGCAATTCCTTCCATTCAGCTTCTGGGAATTGAAATGCTGCTTCACTTCTTGATGGGACCAGAAGTTTTGGATTTTGCAAAGCAAAACAAACTGGTGCTTAGTTTAGGTACATGAGTTACATTTTTTCAATGTACTTTTGCATAATGTGAAATGAATCACTTTGGATTTAAAAAGACATCCATAAAACACTTTATTTATAAGTGTTTGTTGTCATCTTGCATACTGGAAGTTGTTTTTAATTGTGTAAAAAGCTTAAGTGTGCATGCTGCTGCTTTCTTTTTAAGGCTTATCTAAGATAGGCTGTGAAATAACAGATTTACAGACCTGTCTTTGTTCTCCTCCTAGAGCCTCTCCAGCACCCCCTGATCGGTAGCCCATCCTTTTTTTGTAAGCATGCCAGCACATTTATAAATGCAGTTCAGGATGGATTTATTGCAGTTGGAAAAGAAGTTCCTGGTAAGAATTTAGTGGTGAAATTTTATTGCCTTTCTGCAAATGAAGCTGGGGAGGAAAACATAAGGAAGAAATGTTTGCTTTCTGTAATATTCCACTGCTGATGTTACTTAAGTTGAACTTGGTTCTGAAGCTTATTTCAGTTCCTTCTCACATCAGTGGTTTAACTCAGTGTGTATTTAAATTTTCCTTAATGTTTTTATTGCAAAGTTAATAGAAATATCATTATCTTATAGAATCTGTGCTGAATAATATCTGGAAGGACATAAATGGGCATGTGAAAACAGCTATTGAATCAGGTAAGAAGTGTATTTTTTTATGTTACTGCTGGCCTTAAGAAATACTTGTTTCATTGCTGGTAAGAGCAGCTTTTAGGCATCAGCAGCAGTTGTTTTTGCAACTGATCTCTTTCATCTGTGTGCCCAAATCCAAAATGATACCAGTTTGATCCATGGAGGCTTGTCAGGGAGGCACGGTGGCACATGGCTGCAGCTGTGTTCCATTAGCATGAAGACAGAAGCATTTGAGCTTCTTTTATTGACAAAAAACAGTTTCCATTTCCAAAAACGATTCTGCACCAGGACTTCAGTATTAAGAACACTCCTCAGTATTTGGTGTATTGCTCACAGTAATGTAAATTACTTGTTAGGTGAATGTCTACCTCTTTTTTCCACTAATCATTTTCTATTTTGTAGCAAATCATTATCTCATAATCTCTTTACAGATACATAAATACAAGTTCTTGTTTAAAGTGTCTTGATAATGGAGTATTTCATATTGTTTATGATTACAGCATTCAGAAATGATGTGTGTTGCTTGGATGCCTCCAGAATTTCTCATACATAGCTGCTTTTTTAACTTGTCAAAGTTGAATGTTAATAGCAGGAACGTGTTTCCATTTTACTTAAAAAAAAATTAGGGATTATTTAATTGAAATGTTTTGCTTACGCTGCTTTTCAGAGACTTGGTACCTGATTTGTTGGTCTGATATATGTTTATAAATGCACACAGAATTTCTTATGGTCCTACAGTACATTGGATTTAAGCTTTAAATAATGGTTGATGGCAAGTACTTTGTTCTGTTCTAACTATAAGTACACTTTATTCCAGGTAATAAGAAAGAAAAGCAAGGATCAGAAATGCTGACTATGTTGCTCCAGGCCTTAAAAAACATTGTTAGATCAAATTCTCTTCCTGTGCAGAAAATACTGGTAGGTTGGGGTTGTGTTTTTACTTCTTTCAATCTCATTTCTATTTGATTCTCTGTGTTCTGATTGGTGGTAGTCTTTTGCATCTTTTATGAGATTAATTTATCAGAATGGTCACCTAGGGACCAATATGTTTGGTGTGAACTGTAAGTCGTGCCATTCTGATCTAATGACCTAGTGCTCCTTAAGGGCTTCTTTCTTAAGAAGTGTCTTCCAGACTTGACAGCAATGTTGAGTGTGGGTATGTGACTTTGCAGCACCTTCTGTTTTAAATGACTGCTGCTTTCACAGTGCATTTTGTCCTTTTACTAAAGGGAAGCAGTTGCTTACAAGCATTTGGCTTGTAGTTTGTAATGTTGCATAAAATAGTAAAACATAATGACATTTTCTTCTTTTTCCCTCCTTACTTTAGTCCCTCATTGATATCACTGTGAAGGAATTACCTCCCAAAGTATTGGGATCACCAGCTTATCAGATTGCTGATATGGATCTTTTAAATGTAAGTGTGGCATCCTTCCTTGTCTGTCCTTATGGTTCAGGGTGTTAGGATGTTGTGTCTGCAGATGTGCAGAGTACTTGATCAGAGCTGTACCTTTTACTTGTATTACAGTGCTTGCATGATGTACACCTATCCTCACTTGTTGTGTCAAGGACAAGGTGATTAAGTACTGCAAAGCCTGTAGCTTTTTAAAAGTGTTCAACTACTTCAGCTGTAGTATAACTGCACTTCCCTCACAATCCCATCTAAGCAGAAGTTTAGTTCTCCAGCATTTGCCTCTAATTTTTTGCTTTGAAGTGTTAGAATTTACAGTTTCTGACAACTGTTAATACAGTTGTAAATTCCTGGCTTACAGAAGGTGCATGCACACTGAAGTGAGGCAGCTGTTTCATTTGATCAATGTATTTCTTGTTTTGACCTCTTCAATTCCTTTTACAAGGGAACACCAGCTTTGTTCTTAGTTCAGCTGCCTTTCCATAACAACCTCTTGGAGTGGTGTGTGACAGATGAGAGGTATGTGTTGTTTCTTATGGGTTTTTGTTTCAATAACAAGGTCCCTTAGAGTTGAAGAATTGTCTAGAATTCTTTTCCTAACTTCAGCTAAGGAAGTCTCTCACCTTTTTAACTTTCCTTCCCTAGATTCTTCATCATTCTGGAAACTCTTATGCACTATGTTTTATCTGGGCCTACATCTCCATTGGCTTTCAGTGAATCTGTGCTGTGTGTTATTAATCAGAACGCCAAGCAGGTGGAAAACAAGGAGCATCTTTGGAGGATGTGGAGTATTGTTGTTCACCCACTGACTGACTGGATTAATCGGGTACGGTGACTTTTCTGTCCTCTTTCCCAGCACTCTCCCACACCCCAAAAACCAGCCACCAAAATTCTGTGCTTATACTTTCTCTTGGTGTGCTTTTAGAAGGTGCTTGTTGTGATCATATAGTTATATAAGCTGTGGTGCTGTTTATGGGACTGGAATGTGTGCAGCTTTAGTATAAATGTTTGCAGTGATGTCAACAGTCCTATTCAACAGATTCAGTACATTGCAATGTAGGAAACATTGAACTAACCATCATGCAGTCAAGGGATGTAAAAGTCTCAAAAGTGTCTGTCATAAGCTATGTTAGGTGTCTCTTGTAGGTAGGCATCACTGCAGCAAAAATAGATAAAACACACAATTTCATGCTCTTTTCCCTTAGATTAAGGGGTTATTCTGGTATTTCTTAAAAGTGCTTTTTGCCTGTTAAATAGGAAGATCAACATGAGCTCTGAAAGAACAGAGAAGTAGCCAATTTAAAAATACAGTTGGCTATTTAGCTTGTGCAACTTTCACGTTCCAAACAAATGCATTCAGAGTGACATAGTTTGCTTCACCAGTGCATTTTCTCATTGCAGACTAACGAAGTAAATCAAGGTGACGCTCTGGAGCACAACTTCAATGCTGTCTATAATGCTCTGTTGCTACCAGTATCCCACATTTTCCCTGTTCAGGAATTTCCACAGGTAACTGTCAATAGTGATGCTGATCAGAAGCAAGGGGGTTATATTAAAATTGCTAAGTGCTAGCTCATCTCAGAGTGGAGCTGCTTTTACCAGCATGCACATACATTAGACCACTGCTTTGAGACTGAAATTCAAGTTTTGATAGCAGAACACTTAAAGCAAGTCTTTGTCTCCATGCTCAGAGATTGATACTTACAAACTTCCTCTTTTTTGTTGTTAAAGCCAACTATGAAATCCTTGCTGCGTGCTTGGTCAGACCTGTACAGAGCATTTGCTCGCTGTGCTGCTTTGGTTGCAACAGCAGAAGAAAACCTGTGCTGTGAAGAACTGTGTGCCAAAATAATATCTGGGCTAGAAGGTGAAACTCCAGTAGTGAGTATAAACCAGTGATATTGAACTATAGAAGTACTTCAGCAAACATTTTAAGTGACAGACTTGTGCAAGAATCTGTTGTAAACTTTAATGGAGTCATTGCTGTAATATAAAGTATTTTGTGTCTGGCTTAAAGCTGTTTCATTTTACTACTGAGAGCTAAACTATAACTGGATTGGAAGAAAGGAGTAAAAATATATGATAATGCTTGAATGCTAAAGTAAGTTGAGTCTTTGGACTTGGCTTCTAAGCATTTAAGTAGTGCTGGTTTGGTGAATGTCATAGTTATGGCAAATACGGTTTGTCTGGTTGAAGTTTTGTATACATGGTGTACCTTCAGGTTGAATTAGCAAATGCCACAAAGAGGGATTTTGGTGAGGAAGGAGAATAGTGAGCATTCAGAGGGCATCTTTTGCTCTGTGCCTCTGGTACTGTCAGCTTTGCATACTAAAATGTAGGCTTCATCAGTAAAGCTTATGGAAGAGGGAGCATCATCTCTTCCCTGTGTGCAAAGGCACGTTGTGGGGAAGCAGTGTCTGTAGGTGTCAGTGAATATTGGCTTCAGGAGGTAAAATCCTTTGTGATTTCAAGTTGAGCATCTTGTGAAAAAAAATACTGTAAAAGGAAGAAACAAATAGGAAAATGGAATTTGAAAATATTAGCTTTGGAATATAACACTTTCATTTGATGCTATAAAATAAACGATAAAATTCGGTTTTCAAAAATCAACAATGATTCATTAGGCTGAGCTTGAAAAATGGAGGGCTTCAGTATGGAAGTTACAGTGATGCAGACTTTTTGGCTCCTGTCATCAATGTTCCTTGTAAAAGCAAGTGGAGTTCTTTATTATTTACAAGGGTTTGAGGTGAACTGGAAGAAAATGCTCAAAATGGATCTTTGTATGCACTAGCAATGACTTGTGCTTCCTGAATGTAGTTCTTTCCATGAAAATCTTGCTGCTATGCTGCAGTCATTTCCTGAAGATCAGACTGAGTCCAGTGGCTGAACATAGGCACACTGAGGTTTGGTAGCATGTTCTGCCTTAATATTGACCTATGTAACTTACAGCTGCCTCTTACTGTTTCTCTTCCTTAGATTATATATATGCTTATGTATTACTTGTACAGAGTGGAAAGTCTGAATCTTAAGTTTGTTCTAAAACACATTTATGCAAGCTGATCTTTGTTTCACCTGACAATGCACAAAAACTTCATGCCTTCTTTTAAACCTAAAGGCTATTCAGCACTGCTGTGCCCAGCACTGTTTTTCTGCCACTGTAGCTTGTCTGGACTTTGAATTCTGTTTCCTCCTCAGATGTCTGCAATGCTGGATGGTCTCACCCATGTCGTGGCAGTTATGGTGGACTGCATCAACTTTGCACCCTATGGTATTAAATATCAGCCAAAAAATAGATGTAAGTAAATACTTGAATCTTGGGGTTTTCTGTCGGTTTCTTTCAGGTTTGGTTGAAAATTAGAGTTAATGTAGGTGGAAGTGATGGCTGTAGGATATCAATATATACACTTTGCATCTTAGCTAATAAGGAATTGATATAAAAATCTAAAGAATTCATTCCCAAAATGAATTAATTCAGTATGAAACTCAACGTTTTTCATAATTTCTCTGCCCTAGCTGAATGTCTTATAGTAATAGGACATAATGTTGGGCTGCTGAAAGAATGAAATGCTTTAATGGGAGATACTGGTGAGCAAAAACATGATGGAGATTTCACTCTAAATGAAACTTGATAGCTCCCATTCCCTCCCCCTTGCCTGAATTCACACCTACTAGCTAACAGCTCTGGTGTGGCTGCTCTGTTCTGCAAGGAAGCATTAAAGATGCTTTAAAAACAGTCATTAGGGTGAGCAGTAAATACAAATAAAAGGAGTGAGATCTGTGTCTGTAATAGTATGATAAAGTTATGCATTGGGAAGTGTATGTTTTCTTTTAGATCTGGTTCAAAACTTCCTATGTAGGCGTAGTTTAGGAATCAAAGTTGTGTTTCCCATATCGAAAGGAAGTTGAGATGTTTTGTTGTGATGTGTGTTGGTTGTATAGGGAAAAAATATATATTTCTTTTTTAATGTTAGCTCCACAGACACCTAGTGACTGGTCTAAGAAGAAGAGGGAGCCCCTTGGGAAGCTCTCCTCCCTGTTCAAGCTCCTGGTTTTGTTACTGGACTCATTTCATGCTCTCAGTTCTGAAGAAATCTGCCTAGAACCACTGGCCTCTGTTGGTCATTCAATTATTGCTGTTCTTCACAACATCATCAGCCACGTTTCTTTGCCGTCAGTGATTGGGACCATGTTTGCAGTTTTTTCAAAACCACTGGCAGTGTTTTATGAAAAAACAAAGTGAGTATTTAAATAATGGTTGGAAAACTGAACTCACTGCATTGCTGCACAGCAGTGAAACTTTGTGTAGTCTGTAGCACATAGTGTATTTAAACATGGCTCAGGGTTTTTCAAAGCTTTAGTGCTAGGCTGATGCTAGGACAGGAAGAACTTTCAGCTTCAAAGTCTGACAGCTTTCAGGGCACCTTCTACTTCAATCAAAATTAGTTGAAGTGCAGTAGAATCATAAGATTTTAAGCAGAGAGAAGAAATATTTATTGGCTGTGTGCTTGTTTTCTTTGGTTTTTGTTTTGATCTGGGGTTTTCTTATTTTAATCCTTCATGGCTTTTCTTCCTAGGATAGGGTGGGATTTAGGATGGGCTTGGTGGGAGGGGCTGCCATGGGATAGATTCTGATCTGTAGATGATACAGGGTGTGAAGACTTTGTTCAGGATAAGGAGATGAATGCAGTACAGCTTCCAGCCTCTTGGGAAGAGAGAGGGTAAGGTAGCATGCTTCTGGTCAGCCTGTAAATGTGGTTTTGTGACTGTTAACTGACACTTGAAGCAGGGCTGCTACTGCTGTACTCTAAAATCTGAGTCCCTGTCAGCAAAAATCCATTTGTTCCTCTGTGAGGTTGGATTGAACACCACCTCTCCATCTCCCATCTCATCTGTCTTGCTTTGAGTGTCATCTTTGTGCAGATAGTCCTTAAATAGGAGAAGTGAGCACTGGATTTTTTTTGAGGGAAGGCATATGCAAACAAATACAGACTTGGAAGCCTCCTCAGCATCCCCAAAAAAACCCCAACACTTATAATTACAAATGTTTATTAATAGCAAGTTTGTACTAATTGTTAATCTTTCTATTAGTTCTTCTTGAAGTTAACATCTATTGGTGGAAGCTCAAGGACAACCTTCCTTTAAATACTGAGTTCAGGCAACTTAAAAATAGTACAGTGGGATTGTTTCACAGCATTACTTCATTGAGTTGTGTATTAAAACACAGTGTGCAGTGCTTAAGAGTCTGTGTTTAACCCTTGGGGTAAATGAAAGCAAAATATTTCATACCTTTTTTTGTTTTGGCAGGCTTGCTGATGTACCTAAAGCATACAGTAATCTTAACAGCAAGGTGAGTTTGGTAGAGAAGTAGTTGGGGTTGGGGAGATGTAAGGGCTGTGTTGAGGTTTTTCTGTTCATCCTGGATTCTGAACAAAATTACAGCGAAGGTAGAGATTTAATTTTTAAACCATGCTGAATTAGGGCAATAACTAAGACAAGGGAACATGAGCTTTAGAGAGACTTGTTCTGTGGGGTGGTTTCTAAATTGCTTTTTTCAGGCTGTTATTGCCTGTTGTCTTTTTCTTAAATCACGAGTTTTAAATAGAGAATATGTGCAATATTCTCTGAAAACCTAAAAAATATGTACATATTGCTTCTTCCCTTCCTCAGCTTGAAAAACTCCTGGCTGAGATTATCCTGTGTTTACAGTCCCACTGCACGGGCTGCTATGACAGTGAGCTGCTGGAGCAGCTTTCTCCATTGCTCTGTGTGATATTTCAGCACAAGAGCAAACAGATACGCAAGCAGTGTGCCAACTTCTGGAATGCAACATTTGCAAAGGCTGCATCATTGACGTACCCTGAAGAATTAAAGTAAGATACATTTTTGTTTTTGTATACATTGTGTGTGAATTGTTCTGGAGCAAAGTATAAAAAGGTCACTGCAGCATTCAGCAGGTCTTCTCTGAGTGTAAGAGCTACGCTTAGTGAAGGACACGATTGTGGAAAGAAAACATAGCTAGTATGTTGCTTGTTTATGCAGGGTGATGTAAGTATGTGGTTCTAGGAGCTTGGAAGAGTGTTCAGGGTGTCATATGACTTGGGTTGCAAAGGCCC